CGTCGTATTCCTACTCTGTCACGACCGACCCGTCCAAGCACAACTGCAACTGCACTACTGACCAGCCGACTAGCCGGCAGTGAATCTCGAGTACGAACGCAAATCGGGTAAACGTAAATTCGTCCGGCAACTTGCTAAGTTACTAGTAGCCTGGTCTTCTCTGTATACAGTGTCCACCATAAAGTTTGATCCATATGGACCTTCTTTTTTATATTAGAGTTTAAAAAAATCTTTCTGTGGCAATCACTTCTGCTTTGAAAACAACTTAAAATGCATCAAAGTTGACAGCTAACTTCTGGGAGCTGTCAAATACAAAATATTTAAAAGAAATTTTTAAAAATTGGTTAAATTATTATTATTTTAAAAAAGGTGACTAACAAAATTATGTTTCAACTCTGACTTGGTGCATTTAAAGTTGTTTTTAAAGCAGAATTGATTGCCACAAAAAGTTTTTTTTTGGACTCTAATACCAAAAAAAATCGATTTTCGAATCTCCACTAAAAACGTTTTTAATTTTTTCATTATGTTGTTTAATTTCCAAAGGGCTTATTTCAATTAATATCTTTAATAACTCCTTAAAATTTCCTCTGTTCACCGAGTCAATCTTTTCATCATACCCACGAAAAGGCAACTCTGGCTTGCTTACATATAAGACTGCTTGAATAACTACCCGTAAACAAATTCTATTTAAACGAACATTTTCATAAAAATTAAGCTTATAGAGTATAGCGTTTTTTCTAAAGCATCGGCAATTGTATTTTGATTTTTTTTTTAATTTTTTAGCATTAACTGACATTTTAAATGTTCTGCAGAATCCCCGTGTTTATGCAAAGATCTTGTTATATTTACGAAATCAGTGAACCCTTCTTTATTCCAAATGCCATGTTTATTAGAAAATAGTAAACACGACCAACTAAATAATTTTTGTAAAACAATGCTGCTACATAGCCATTTAAAATCAGAAAACCAGGAAGACTTAAATTTAATATTATAAGATTTACCACTTTTTCTTATTTCTTTTTGGCAATTTATGGTTAAGTTTCAGTTGGTCGCCTTTAAGATAAAACATCCCTCTTATCTTCATCTGTCCACCGTCTGAAGGGAGTTTCCAATAAATTGTACACCAAATCATTAATTGGGTTCATTTTTTAACACCTACACACACAAAACAGTTTTAAAACACAACAACAAAACAAACAGCAAAAATTAACAAAAACCATTAACAAACAACAATAAATATCAACAACAACTTTACAGTCTTTACAAGGTTAATTACTCGCCGAAGTAGCCGAATATTAGCATAAATGCATAAAATATGCGTCAACGCCGCCAGCCGTCACGCATTTCCTGAACAATTACATACATACAGCCGCTACTCGCTGATGAGTATTCGACACACATAAAGAAGATGGTCACGCAAGGAGTTTTCTTTCATGAGATTTTCTGTGACTGAAAAGCCCGATACGTGATGTTATCTGCCTACCTCAATCCGGACATTCAAAAATCTCATTGCTTTGTTGCCTCTTTACTTTTTGGTTGTCGCTGTTAACTGAGTTTACAACTCTTTTTCATTGAGTTCTATTATGAGCTGCTTTTTCCCACTCATTCTGCATGTTAATCTCCTTTAAATTTTCTTGGAAAATGTCCTTGTACCTTTTCAGTTGTCCACCTGGCCTCCTCTTACCGTCTACAAGCTCACCGCAAAGCAGAGAATTTGGTATGCGGTTTTCTTGCATTCTGTATGTCACGTATACCAGCCCATCTTAAGCGGGATTTTGTAACCATGACTTCAATACTCTCGCAGTTAGCTTTTTCAAGGACCGATACGTTGTTTTACATGGTGGAACCACCGGATTCTTAAGAGTTGTCTAAGGTGTCTCTGTTGCAAATTGTTTAATGCGTTCATGTGTCGGCGGTACGGCACCCAGGTTTCACTCCCATATAACAATGTGGGGATTATAACTGCTCGGTACACTGCAAGTTTTGTTTTTGTACTCAAGTCGTGATTGTAGAAAACCCTGTCTTTTAATTTCCAGAATGCTCTTGAGGCGCTGCTAATCCTGTGCTGAATTTCAGAGTCGATATTGGCCTTTTCCGAAATCAAACTGCCAAGGTAATTGAATTCCGCCACATATTCCAATTTTATAGCGTTCACCATTGCTATTTACGTTTCCTATTCCATGTTTTCCCAATACGTCAGGCCATATTTCCTGTTGTTTGCCGACACGGGCATTAAAGTTACCTAGCAAGATGATTCGTTCGTGCTTTGGAATTCGTTGAAGGGCATTTTGTAAAGCTTCGTAAAATTTATCCTTATCCTCAATTTTAGCATCAAGGGTGGGAGCGTAGGCACTAATGATGTTGACGTAAGTTTTGTCTGATATGGGGTACCTTAGGGTCATAAGACGTTCGGAGACACCAATAGGTACTTCTGTTAATTTAGTGGCGATTTCGTTTTTGATCGCAATGCCTACGCCATGAATTCTCCTGTGTGTTGCGGGGTGACCTTTCCAAAAGAAGGTGTAATGCTCCTCAGTGAGACTACCTTCATCCGCAAAGCGTGTTTCGCTTAGAGCGGCAACAGCTATATTTAATCGGTGGAGTTCCTGTGAGACCAGTGCTGTTCTTCTCTCTGGTCGATTTGAATTTATCTTGTCCAGTAGAGTGCGGACGTTCCACGCCGCAAACGTGAAACATTGATGTTTTCTGTTTCTCCGATGATACGCTCGAGTAGGCACCCCCTCCCGGAGATCCGATTGAGGGGGTATTTTACCTCCGGATGATAATTTTGTCCCACTCGAATGTTCCATCATTGCTGTGTGTAAGCTGCGTGAAAAGGTTTAACTGTGACGGTTACGCTGCCGCACAGTTTTGGCTGCAACTGTAGCACGGGATGGCTATGGCACAGTGAGGACCGCGACGATAGTTCCCTTGTGCTACGTTCTCGGCCGGATAGGTGTAGTTTACTACTCCGTTCTCCCAGAAGATGGTAGGTCTGAGGGTCGTATAAGATTATACCGCCTATACTCGGACGTCAGAGCCTCGTTTGTGTAAACAGGGTGCACCACGTGAAGGTGAGGTTGACTTTTGGATAAGCTAGGCTATATGTATCGCTTTAATACCCCTTGCACCCCCCTGAACAATTAAGTTGAACAATTAAGTGGAAGGAAGACGAAGAAAACTGCCCAAAAACTCATTCACATCGGTTACCGATAAAAAATTTCGGGCGGAGAGACATGCTAACGTCACGTTACCATGGAAACCGTGCAGCCGCTTGGCTCACTAATACAAAAAATTTCACTTGCACTTGTGGGCTTGGAAACATAGGCGCGTGCGGGCCAAATGCTACTTTTTCGGCCGGAATTAACGATGCGGTGGACCTATTAATTATGCAGAGGTCCGCCCGGAAAAAAATAAATAATTTATAAAAAATTTCCATTTTATTATTTAGATACATGTAAATATATTAAACTAAATTAATATTTTAAGCAATAAAGTTTTATCTTTAATTTGAATATTTTTTTAGGTGAAGTGCCCCTTCACTTACTGCACCGGACGAGCCGCCACACAGTGGGGTATTTGACACAGATAGTTGATCGAAATTTTTTTATGTAGACCTTATATAAATTATTGCACTTTTCAATTAAAGAGGAAATAATATGAACAAAATAAAGAATAATTCGTTGATTCTAAAAAAAGAAAGAAAAATAAGTCAGAAAAAAATATTTGTTTCCACGGTCAATGCCACTAATGCCAGTAGTAATATCGCAACTAATACTACTAATGCTACGACTGATCCGCGAGCAATGCCCATACCACTAAAGTCGCTACTAATGCCAAATTGTGCTATACTGCTAATGGCACTAATGCGATCGCTTTGTACACAACAATGCCATCGCGGTTTACACCTCGCATTAGTATATCAGTGATTGGCAAATTAGAGGAAACCAAGAATGTTTTTCTCATTTTATCAGCAAAGTCGCAAAAAGTCGCAGTATTTTATTTTACTGAATGAAAGCCCAATGTTTACTAAGTAAAACGTATATAGACAATATGCTGAATTCTTCGAAATGCGCAACTAAATCTCTAAGTATAATAAAAATTTCACAAATTTAATCAAATTTTCTGAACGCCTAACTTTTAGTTGCAAAAAAAATCGTTAGTATAGAGAATATCAAAATAAATAATACGTTTTTGTAGAATACATACCTGCAGCTCGCTGAGCAATTTTTATTCAAAACAACAATATAAACGTAAAAAGAGCACAAGAACAACAACAATTTATAATTTTAAATATAAAATTTAGCCATTTACCTCTTATCTGTGAGAAGTAACAACTTTGACGTTTCGTTGAAACAAATGAATGCAACTAAACACACTCATAGCAACGCCATTCATGGCAGACATGATTTAATTTATCATTCATCTTTTTTTGGGAAATCTTAAACACATTTGCTTTTTCGAATTTCGATCACCTTTTTCATGCTAATACCCCACCGTGCGTCACTGAGGCATTATGAAATATGTTTTTGAGTAATCGTCCAGCTAAAAAGGTAATACGGCTTTTCCTTGTTTATAAGAGACTTTTCAGAAATAATAACACTGTTAAAGGTGAGGAATTTCTGCTTTCGAAATATTTATCCCATTATATATTTATTAATATTCGCGCTAAATATAGCAGGGTGATTATGTTCGAACTAGGGTTCAGAACCGGGACTCCCGATTCTTTTGAGACATGAAAGAACCAGGACTCGAAATTTATTAATTCCCTATTATTTCGTTACCTTCGGGACTCGGTAATAAAGACTTTTGATACTTCCTATAGCGGTCGAAATTAACTCTTTTAAATAAGTAGTGACGCTATCTCGTACTGTTCTTACTTCTGAAGTTATTTTGAAGTTTCTATAATGATTATTAGTAATTATTGAAGTTTTAATATGTTATATTATTATTTTAATATTCAATGAAATCACTTAAAGAAAAGTCTAGTTTTTACTTACCGATGAGTAATTTTTATACTTTCCAAATACGCCATACCGCTGGCAATTTGCATGGAAAAATTCTGCAATTCACTACTATCTAGAACGGGTTTGACACAATCCTCCTCCTCCTCACTTATGTGTATCAGTGGCGTAACAGGAGACTCCAAAAATGTTGTAACAGCTAAAATATAAATCACCAGTTATTAGAACTATCAATATACGTCAGTATAAGATTAATACAGTTAGGCTGTATTCCGTTGCAAAACCAGGCGAACCAGACCGGACCAGACTTTATTATAAAATTTATCTTTTATGCATTTTTAATGTACCTATTCTCTGTTTTTACGTTTGCTTCTTCTTTTCAATGGAATTTAATATTGAAAAGTACTTTATTAATAAACTGTTAAACTCGTTAGACAGCTGAAGTGAAGATTTGCAGGTCCAATATTAAAACAGATCAATAATAAATAAACAAATCTAATCAATATTTATATATTTATTTTTTTATTTATGCTTACAAAACAATCACGATTACTTGTCTTGTTTCTCATGTTTTCTTTAAATATTCCTGATTTTAAGAAACAATGGCTGCATGATAAGTTTAAATGGTCCTAAAAAGTCATTCTGTTTAGTTAATGAAATTTATTTGCCTTTACTGCCTACCTCTATTGCTTTTGGATATGAATACAAAATTTTATTACAAATTTTAGAAATTAAATGAGAATTTCACTCGAACTTCCAATATTTGCTTGATTTCTGTCACATAAATGACATTGATTGACAAACCAAACCAGAAAACCAGCCTTCTCGCGCTGGTTAGTTTGTTGACAGTTATAACCGAATTTTTCAGGAACCGTGTTCCGTAATAAGAAAACTTTCAGGAAACCGATAGAAACGGAACATAAAACCATAACCAAGGTAAGCAACGAAATACACCCTTAATTGACGTCGTAGATGCGCAATAAATAATGACTACACTAAAAATGCTTATGCTATAATTTTGGAAGATATTATTAAAGAAGATATTAATTTAATATATATTATTATGTTGTTATTTACTATGAAAACATGTGCGCCTCTGAATTTTTATTCTTGTTAGCAAAATTGTGTAGGCCGTTTAATGCCGATCAAAAGTTGTCTCTTGATATTTTATCGATTTCGGTCTCCTTGATAAGATAAACGCAATTTTATTAATTTGCCTTAATCCAAGCCTAATAGCACAGAATATCTAGCTACACAACAGAAGCCTTGTTACATGTATAAAATCGTAGGTATCAAAAGGAGACAGGCTTTTAAAGCCTGTCTCCAAATCAGATATTTTGATGCGGTAGTTTCGCTACTACATAATAGAGAGCGATAAATTGAAAAGAAAACAGTTTTCTACAAACGAAATTTAAGAGAATTTTATGCAGTGTTGCCATTGTGTAATTCATATTGTAATACTTCCTTATAAAGCCTACCTTCAAATTTGCTACATCATTTAAACATATTAAATAGATCAGAGCTCTTTTTTCAAACGTTTAGGTATTTAACTTGCCATGTTAGTTGGAGTTAAATCTTACGAGCTGAATTACATCACTTTGTGACGTTTGATTGTAATTGAATTTCCTGGCGTTCGGTTGGACTTATACTTGGTATAGTATCTTCGGTGACATTGTAATATAGTAGTACTATAATGCATATAAAGTGGTACCTTAATATAGTACCATATTACGATACCACTTCCTGACGTTCGATTGGGCTCATATTTGATTATACTTGCATATTTTTGATGACATTACAATATTATGGTACCATGAAGTACATCAAGAGGTACCATAATGTAATACCATATTGCGATACCATTTCCTGGCGTTCGATTGGTCTTAAACTTTGTATACTACGTGTGTTCGGTGACATTGTAAATATGATGGTACTTTGATGCATGTGGTACCTTCTAAAGTACCATATCATGATACCAGTTCCTGACGTTCGATTAAGCTCATATTTGATTATACTTGCGTATTTTTATGACATTGCAACATTATGGTACCATGAAGCATATCAAGCGGTACCATAATGTAGTACCATATTACGACACCATTTCCTGGCGTTCGATTAATTGGGCTTAAACTTTGTATGCTACGTATGTTCGGTGACACTGTAATATGATGGTACTATAATGCATATAAAGTGGTACCTTCTATAGTACCATATTATGATACCACTTCCTGACGTTCGATTGGGTTCATATTTGATTTTACTTGCGTATTTTTGATGACATTGCAATATTATGGTACCATGAAGCATATCAAGAGGTACCATAATGTAGTACCATATTACGAAACCATTTCCTGACGTTCGATTGGGCTTAAACTTTGTATACTACGTATCTTCGATGACATTGTAATATGATGGTACTATAATGCATATAAAGTGGTACCTACCTATAGTGCCATATTACGATACCATTTCCTGACGTTCGATTGTGCTTAAATTTGGCACTACGGATCTTCGGTGACATTGCAATATTATGAAGCATATCGAGTGGTACCATAATGTAGTACAATATTATGATATCATTTCCTGGAGTTCGACTGGGCCAAAATTTGGTATACTTGCGTTTTTTTATAAAGATTTGTTTAATTAATAATTTTAGTTTATTTTACGAATTTTAATTTATTGTACGATGTCGTGACAGCAACTTTTATGCCGAACTAATATATTATTAATTGTACCTGTGCCACTTTTTAAAATCTACCTAGGTCTATATAAATAACGGGGCAAACAGAAGAAATTTGTTATTATAGTATTTTTTTAGTCAATTAACATTTTTTATACTGCATTTTAATAAATTATTTCCATTATTATTAAACGTATATTTCATTACTAACGTTACAGCATTAATAAATATCACTATCAATAGCCCTGTATATTATTAATTTTAAAGGTAATTAAAGTTATTTTCTTAGTTAACATAATAAAGTAGTGTATTACATATATTAAAAATGTATTTTGTGAGCATATGTTTTCTAATAATATACTTAAACTTAAAACTATTTTAAAAGCCAAACGAATAATTAATGTAAGTGTATCTGACAAGAAACGAAGAATAGAAAGAAATTATTATACACCAGAAAAAGAATGGGATGCCAATTAAAGTCTTTTTGAATCTGGCAACTGTGCATATTTAGCCGACCTTCAAGGCCGTCGACGTGCCGTCGATCTAAAACCGAAAAATTAAAATTTCCAATTATATTCTGATTATGATATTGTCACGCCATCTAGTATTTTATTTGTGCAATTTTTGCTCTTTCATTTCGAGTATTTTTCTGTTGCATAGCTAGATATTCTGTGCTAATAGCAACCTTTAAAAATTTTCTAGTGTCATTATGGCAATTAATAAAATTTAATTAAATATAAAATTAATATAGCTATTTATGTAACAAGTTGCGAAATGAATGTGTTTTAAACACGGGACGCAAAATTTCATTTTTAGTTTTTAATTCATTTTTAGAATCGCTAAAAGAAAAACAAATCGAAAAAAAAATGAAGATTTCTAACCTCCTGTAGCTACCAAATAAACCAGAATCGAATCTCTGCTGATATAAAAAATTAAATCTTATTTTTAAAATCTCCACACGCGAGATGCCATATGTTTTTTGAAACACCTTGTATATAGAGTATGTTCCCGGATTGTCTTTAGGACAAGAGAATATAAACTTTATTATAAAAAACCTCATAGGCATGTTTCTGGGGTTGAAACTATACTACCAGTTAAAATACTAGCACTTATTTCTGGGACACCCTGTATTTTCATAGTTTTCTGTAAAACGGAATGAAAATTTTGAACTCTTAAACATGTATATTTTATTTTGTTGTTTTACATATTTTAAGATTTTTTATAAATTTATACAGGGTGTTTCATAAAATATGACCATTGAGTAATCACGATTCTGCTTAAACTGCTTGACGTTTAAAGCTGATTTTTGGCAAACGGATTGACTGTGGGGTGTAGAGGTTCGATAAGGAGGGCTTTCTCGAATCTCAAATTCCAAGAGGGTGAAAACGCCCCTCAAATATTACAATATTTGTTATTTAAAAAACGGTTAATCTTTCGGGAAAACCATAACATATAAGACAAGCATAATTTATTTGTTTTTTTTAAAATATCTCGAATTTTTTTAATAAATCATACAGGGTGTTCCAAAAAGTTGGGTAATTTCTTAACCACGATTCTGCTTAAACTGCTTGACGTAAAAAGCTTATTTTTGGCAAACGGATTTTTCGAAAGTCAAATTTCAACGAGATGAAACTACCCCTCAAATATTACCAAGTTATATAATAATATCGCCATATTGTTTTTTCTCATGCTGACATAAATGTGAGAAAATTTTATCCAGTTTTTATGTTAATGGAAATTCTTGCTTTGCTTTATCATCACCATTACAAATGAGTAATTCGATGCGAACGAAGTCGCTGGTACACGCTAGTAGAATTATATAAAAGAACTTACTTTCTGTGCCTGATGGCAAGCCTGTAGAGCTTACAGACTCCGGAGTATTAGGACTACCCTGTACTACCTCTGTACTTTTTGGTGTTCTTGAATTGCGCCTTTTAGGTAAACTCAGTGGCTTCTTCCGTACGGTAGGTCGAATGGGTGGCACGTGAGGTGATCCCGGTGTACTCGGAATAGATCTTGGAGTTTCTGGTGTGATGTAGGAGTCCGTTCCAGAACTTTCTATATCTTCGTCGCGACTTCTAGAAAACAAATTAGTCTCCTGTTTCATAAGATAATTGACTGACAAGTTAATCTTATGATTCGCTATGCTATTGCATTGCACACGCAGCAATTATTACAGCTATACCGGGTGGCCAATTAGTGCGAAATAGTCCAATACTGTCGTTGTTGACAAGAATATGAAAAAAGTTTTTATTCATAAGCGAGACCAATAAACTTTTAGTTACGTAATCGAGATACCTCCGACTGCTCCACGAAGGACTTGCTCCAGAGGAAGCAAAAGCGAAAACACTCATCCGAAAAGAGGAGAGTAAAGAAACCAAGAAACAACCTGACTCATCTCCATCAAAAGACAAGAGAGGGAGCAAGAACCTCTCACCTCTTCTCCGGCAGGGAGAGAAAAAAGCCAGGATGAAAAGCCGTCCAACACCGGGAGATATGCAAGGACGTATCACCAGTTTTGCCGCTATTGCTGGACAAGTGAAAATGGCGGTGCTGCCAACGGATTTCCCAGAGGTTGCTCTGATCACCGACCAGCAAACGTCTCTAGAAGAGGCTATACTGGACGAAGTAGTGGCGATCAGATCGCAACACGACGATCTACAAAATGTGGTTCAGCTGCGTTTTGCGGGGATACACTTTCGGGTGGGCATGATCCTCATAGATTGTGTATCTCAAGAATCGGCGAATTGGTTGGTGGAAATCGTACCTAAGCTTAAAAATTGGCAAGTGCCGGAATTGGTTGCAGTGAAGGGAGAAAACATCTCTAAAGGGGCGGCCATAACCGTCTTTCTGCCGAGGAGCAAGGGGAAAGACACCACCTACCTGCTGAGCCTTATCCAAGGTCAGAACTTCAATGTAAGGACATAGAGTTGGCGAGTCATCAACTCGAGGGAGGAGGGTCATGGTCAGGTCCTCACAATAGGAATTGACCTCAAATCCAAGGAGGCAATAGAGAGAGAGGGACATATCCTCTATTATAAATACGGGACAACACCGGTATCAGATCTAAGGAGAGAGTTATAGAGGTGGAGAAAATGGAGACAGATCTTCCAGCCTCCACCTCATGGGTTCCTCAGCCGGAGGCAAGCTCCTCGACTGTGAAGAGCGGCACGGAGGGCCAAACTCCAACCGTGGAAGGGTGTGTACCCTCGGAGGAAGAACTGTTGTCAGAGGAGAATGGGAAATACCCTGTCCCCTCTACAACAGGGGTATGATGGGTTATATATTGTGTGATGACTCAAGGAAGGGGGACACAATAGATCTCTAAGGTCGCAGTGATTAAATCCCCTCTTACTCATTCTGCATTCTACGCAATCGAGGGTGCGATTTCATTGTTAAAAAATTAAATTCATTGTTGTCAACCATGGATATATTCGGCGCCGCGACAGGTTGACTAACTGGAATTTAAATTTTCCTCTGGGAATTCAGGTGGTACCTCTGCTGTAAAAAATGTCAAGTTGCCACATTTATTTATTTATTTTCTAACATTGTCATTTGTTTTTAAACTTTAGTTTTGTATTGCAAGATTTTGGTTGTGCATGATATTCTAAAAATATTTTGTTGTGTACAAGGCGTCCCAGAAAAGTAGTGATGAAGTTGTTGTTCTTCTTCTTCAAATGCCTTCTTCGTTGCGAAGGTTGGCAATCATCAGTGCTATACGTATTCGTGACACAGCCGACCGAAATAGTTGCTTTGTGGTGCACCCGAACCAGTCACGTAAGTTTCTCATCCATGAGTGGCGTCTTCTTCCTACACTTCTCTTTCCTTGAATTTTTCCTTGTAATATCAGTTGGAGTAGGTGGGACTTTTCTCCTCTCATGACGTGTCCAAGGTACTGAAGTTTACGCTTTTTTACCGTTATGAGAATGGCAAGATGAAGTTGTTTTCCGTAGATAATTGGATTCAGCATAAAATTCGGAATATAGTACATTATATTATTATGGTGTCGCCATGCTATTTATTATTTACTAAAACTTTGGTTTAAAACAGTTATCCGAAAAGTACTAAAAGTCCAAAGACAATAATATAACTTTTTCTAATTAAAATATTCCTATATATTTAACAGTTTCGTAGACATTCGCGAAATATGGATTTTTCAATAGTAAAATATAAGGCAAAAAATCATGAGGTGATTGATAAAAATCTACTGTTAAAAGAGTCATATGTTGGATAATACCGCGAATATCTGCAAAAGCGTTAAATATTCAGGAACAGTTTACATACAAAAAATGTTTGTTTTTTTTTATTCTATATCTAAATGAAATATAACATATATACCGGGTGCGTCTCAAAAGTGGCTCACCCCCTATAACTTTTTTATTTTTTCAGATAAAAGAACGATATTTGTTATGTTAGTATATGCACAAATTAGGATTGATTGACGTATTCAATTGTTTTTAGTCACTTCCTGTTTCACCGGAAATGACTAAAACTTTTGATTTTTAAATGGCACCCTCGGTATTTTTTTACTTTATTCGATAGAAAATGACACTCTGAATCGAATGACATATCATATATGTCAACTTTTGACATATTCGCTCAAAAATAACTTGCATTTTAAACTCCAATCTAGAGTGTCATGGCTCTGTTAAAAACATTAATTTTTAATCACGGAGCCTTAGAAAAATAGTTTTATAGTCTAATGTTTTTAGTGTCTTGTCCTGGCCGGTGAAAATATACCCAAATCGTATTTTTAATCATATCTCAATTTTTTCAAATGGAACGAGGGTGGCTCATTAGCATGTTTTGAAAAAGCATTTTTTTTCGAATAATTTGATACCACACACTTGGTATTTCGAGGCAAATTGTCCCTATGAACCGCAGGTTACAATTTCAAATAAACCATATGCGAGTCAAAAGTTGACATATGGTATGTCATTCTATTCAGAGTGTCATTTTCTATCGAATAAAGTAAAAAAATACCGAGGGTGCCATTTAAAAATCAAAAGTTGTAGTCATTTCCGGTGAAACCGGAAGTGACCGAAAGCAATTGCGTATGTCAATCAATCCTAATTTATGTCATATACTAACATACCAAATTTCGTTGTTTAATCAGAAAAAATAAAAAAGTTATAGGGGTGAACCACTTTTGAGACGCACCCGGTATAACAACATGTCGCATTTTAAAAATTCATATATAACATTATTAATATTGCAATGGTCACTTAATAAAAAAACCTGTTGAAGGTAATGTGAGTCTTCCTTCACGGATACTTCACGTTTTAGGAAACTATGGGTAAGAATATTTGAAGGTAAATTCACTCGTTTCATCGCGGATTTTTACTATTTTTCAGATATACTTTTTTAACAAAAATTTTAGTAAATAAGAAATAGCATGGCAACACAAAAATACATGGTGTACTATAGCAAAATGTTATGCTGAATCGAATTTTAACAGAAAAATATGGATTGCAATTTAAAAAAAAATTACATCATACTTTTTAGGATACCCTGTATAAACAAGATATTTTTTAAGTTATGCACCTTTATGAACAATGCAAGAAATATATTAAACTTTTTTTCATATTTTTGTCAACAACGCCAATATTGGACAAAGATGATGATGCTACATACCCAAAAGTCAAATCACTGTATTTTAATTTTTCAGTTGGTTGGGTAGCTGGTAAATTCTCTTCTGGCAAATAACATTCTATCACCATATTGCTGAAAAGAAATAATAATATTTTATTTTTTCTTTAATTAGGTAACAAGTATTTTGTTGTTACTTTGAATAAAAAGACTCAGGAAGAAGTCTAACAATATTTATATATTACGGTTTCTATCTACACACAAATAACAGACATTGAAACGAAGGGATAGGGCTAACAACAAAAATAGTTTATTTTTAAAACTACTTACAACAATCTATTCGGATATCTAACTTTCACCGTAGATAACCGACGATATGTTGGGCTAAATAAGAACATAACCAGAAATAAGCATATGCTTTTAGAAAATACGAATTAAAGCACTGTGGTCATATTTTAACTTTGTTTAGATAATATGAGCTGAAATAAAAAATAAAAATATTACAAAAAATACATATAAACAAAAATCTTAAAAAATTACCAATTATATAGTGGCCAGTAGATGAAAGTGCATGTACAAAATGGAGTTATAAGCATTTCAGTTGATTTTAAAAATTCCGACCGCAGCGCTCAATACAGCAAAAATCTGAAGTTTCACGCCGGCCGTCCTGGTTAAAGTTCATGTTGGTTCATCTTGGTTTACAGTTCATTAAGATAATATTGAAATCGTGGCTTTGTCACAATATACACACATGGCCAAAATTATTGCATATATCGTTTAAAAATATACGGAAAGGATTTAAAGAATCTTTTTTTATACATAGCTTTGATAATCTGTAATAAACATTTTTTTGTTAAAATGGATATGGTATACAATGTTTGTCGTTCAGACCCAATATTATTACAAATTCTTGCACATTTCGATTTGTGGTCCCTTGGGTTTCAGAAGAAATTGACCAGTGCTTTGGCCTTAAAATGCCTAGAAACATTATTTCACAGTTTAATAGAGTTAGAATAGTAAGACTGTCTCAACAGGCCTACCGGCAAGTTGGAATAGCTGAAATTGTAGGAGTTAACCAAAGCGATGTTTCGCGAATATTAAAAAAAATCAGGGAGACAAACGAGGTTACAGACCGGCCTAGAAGAGGTAGAAAGAGAGTTACTACTGCTGTGCAAGACCGTCAAATATCCCTAATTGCACGACGCAATCCCCTGCTTTCTAGTACTGCTATTAAAAATGAGTTAGCTCGCCTTGAAGGAGTAAATGTTTCAAGAAAGGTCATAGCAAGAAGACTCCATGACAGAGGATTACATTAAATTTAAGGAGGCCTCTACGTGTTCCGAAGCTTAATTTACAGCACAAAATTACGCTACAACAATGGGCTGAGGAGATGAGAGCAAATGGACCTAATTAATTGGAATTTCGTCATGTTTAGTGATAAAACAAGAATAGGCCTAGTGTCAGACTCGCGACGAACTTTGGTCTGGAGAACATCTGGAAGACGAGCACGAATTGAATGCAGCTCAACCCCGTGTCCTGTTTCAAGGGGGAAGCATTATGGTATGGGCAGGTATAATGCACAGAGCTCGAACTCCTCTTGTTTCTATTGATGGCACAATGACAGGTGCCTCATATCTTAGATACGTTTTAGAGCATATTGTACATCCATTTCGAGGGGCAGTGGGGGATGAATTTCTTTACATGGACGATAATGCTCCTCCCCATCGCAGTTTAGCGGTTCGCGAATTTTGTAAGGAAGAGGGTATAAGAAAACTGTGGTGGCCACCGATGTCTCCAGATATGAATGTGATCGAGCATGCTTGGGACATGCTAAAACGCCATATTGCCAAAAGGAATGATCCCCCCCGTACCTTAAATGAATTTAAAATTGCTGCGCGCGAAACATGGGAAGCCATTCTACAACATCTTCTGGACAACTTAATTGAAAGCATGCCACGTCGTCTCACAGCTTGCATTGAGGCTCGAGGAGGCAATACAGACAATTAGTTGTGAGAAATAAATAAAATTGTTTTCAATATTTTCTGTTTAAAATGAAATTTGTTTTTTTGATTTTCACTCATTATGAAATAAAATTATAATAACAGCCTAGTCGCACTTAGATTTTTAATTTTATATTAGTTAGTCGTGTAGTAAAAATAAAATAAAAATATCGTTATATGCAATAATTTTGGCCGTGTGTGTATTTACGTATTTTGGTTCATACTGTGCAGTTATTGAAACTATAACATTCTCATGTATGAAAGTGTGTTACGGGTGGTGAAAATTAAGTGAAAAAGAACCCGAATTGAGGAACGCTTTGTATTGTAACAATGTAGAAAAAAATATAATTAGTAGTGGTACAATTTGTAATAATAATTTTTTCATTTAAATTTGAAGGAGTATAATCTGATTATTCTCTGACACAAATTGTGGGAACTACTACAATACTTTTTTATACTTCCAAGCACTATTTTGAAGGTCTACAAATTGATAGAAATATATTATGCTACAACGTGATGAATAGTAAAATTTATTTTTTCCGTGTATGTATTTGATTTTTAAAATATTTTTTTTGTAGCCTGAACAGCTAGCGCGGTTAAAATATGACCACCCTGTAACAAATTAAATAGACCAGTAGTACTCACTCGGGGAAAAAATGACGTGGAGTATTTTTCTTCTTTCTCTTTTCCCATTCCTTTCGCAAATTAGATAAATGGCCTTTAAGTGAACCGCAAGGTGCCAGCTCCATGATCATCATGTAGGGAACGTCCATAGTTACGCAGGCCAGGATTTGGATGACGTTCTTGTGGCCGCCCGAGTCGGCTATCTTTTTCATCGTCTCGATTTCAAGTAGGAAATCGGATATTTCTTCGGGTGGAGCATTTTCTAGATATAAAAGAATTTATAGAGAAAATTAGGGTATCAGGATTGAGCCTTAATTATCGAAGAAGTAAATTAGTTGCTATACAGGGTGGCGCACCTCATTCGCCTGGGTTGATTATACGAAAACGGAAAGATGTAGAAACAAAATATTTTATGGGTATATGTGGGAAGGCAATGTACAGGGTGTGTCAGAACTAAGATCCATACGAAAGTTATATTTGTTCTTATGGAACACCCGGTATTTTATTTCATTTTTGGATTCTCAGACATAAAATAAGGCATATGTTTAAAAGCTTTGGTTTTTGAAATATTTAAAGATATCTAAATATCCATGCTATAAGAAAGTTTGTCAACGCCTTGTACATTACTTTTCAGAATTAATTCTCGTGCTGACTTTCAAGCCAAAGAAATAAACTTTGATTGCTTGCTTAAATGTATACAGGGGTATCAAAAATTGCTGGTCTATTTTAAATATTTATTTTTCCTAAAAACTTCATTATTTCAAATACAACACTATGTATTTTTTTGAATAAGTCGAAGCAGATTTAAATGCTCTTTCAAACTATATTAGGGTTTCATATATCTATCTGGCTCAGATTTTGAATAAAAAGCGTTTTTTCGATAAAAATGTAATCAAGATGGCTGGTGCCTTTTTTTAGTGAATTTTCTAGTGACACTTAGTAGCTATTTTTAAAATCGACATTAGTTTATAGACTTTATTTAAATTTATAACAGGTTAATAGGAAAATAAGAGGATTTTTTTTATTGTTGACATTTTGAGATATTGTTGACATTTAATGTCTTTTCCAAATTTACATACCGTTTTTGAGAAAATTAAAGAAAAAACATGAAAATATGTTGATTTTTTAATGAATGAAACTGCGTTTCTATGGTATAATAATTTAGATTCTTCTTTTTTTTATCTTTTGATAGATGCTTATTAATAATTCTGAATAAAGCCATATTTTTTGCTCTTGTTAAAGTTCCACATTTTCCAAAAACTATTATCACCCATTCTGTAGCATTGAACTAAATAAATTTTGTGCCTCTCTAACATTTTAAAAGAGCGAAAAATATGGCGTTAATTAAAATTCTATCAATATCAACTCACCAAAGAATGAAAACGAAATTATATTACCATAGATATGCGTTTTGATTTTTAGGACTTTCAACCATATTTTCATGTTTTTTTTTTATTTTTTCTAAAACGGTATGAAAATTTGAATAAGCATAAACGGGATTAACCATTTTGTAACAAGCAAAATATTTTTATGTCGAATGTATTTTTCTCAAATGTGTAATAAAATGTAAATAATAATAATAATATGATAAATAATAATATGTGTAATAAAATGTAAATAATAATAATAAAGTTTTCCTTCTTGTAAAGGCAATCCCGGTATACAATACTGTATAACAAAATATATAATTGGTCGCTGGAGCCACTGCACTGTAGGATTATTTTTTTTTTTGCCATATAGGATTTTTTTTGGAGAGATGAATCCGCCACATAGGTATACAGGGTGGGCCACTGAAAACTTACAATGACTATAATTCTTAAACCAAAAAAGATATTAAAAAAATAAAAAATACCGTTTCTATAATATCGAGGGGAAATACATATGACGTATTTTTTAACCACCCCGACCTACCCCTTAGGCGGCACACCTACTCACTTGAAAATCTGAAATGGTAACATCCTACTTGTGGCGCCTTTTTGGAAAGCCCATGAAAAATTCTAAACGATGATCATAAAGTTTTTAGGGTGAAATTGAAAAACTGCCCCTTACACGAAAAATTAGGTGGACATTAATGAAAAAAGTGATTTTTTCAGCATAGGTTACAAATTGGGACCCAACTTAATGAGGCAAATGAGGTATTTTTCAAACCACCCCGACCCACCCCTAGGTGCCACCCACTCACTTCTATTCTCAAGATATATATATATATATATATATATATATATATATATATATATATATATATATATATATATATATATATATATATATATATATATATATATATATATATATATATATATATATAATCTCGATACCCTACTTGTGACACTTCTTTGGAAAGCTAATTGAAACTGCTAAACCATGGTTATACAGATTTCAACTTCTGTCTTCTTTCAACAATTAAGTAGTGATAAGAAATGTAGGTTTGACAATTTGAAAGAAATTTAAAATGATAATTTATTTTAACAATTGCTCAAAATGACAGCCGTTTTGTTCCATACAAAAATACAAACGATTTTCAAATTCTTCTCTCACTTTTTGGAAAGCCTCTCGGAATATTTCGACATGCTTCAGTTATCCTCTGCCGCAATTCTTGCAACGAACCTGGTTTTGTCTTGTAGACTATGGATTTAGTGTAAACCCACAAAAAAAAGTCTAAAGGAGTGAGATCAGGTGACCTTGGCGGCCACTCGATTGGACCCCTTCTGCCAATCCATTGCCTTGGATAATATCTATCCAACCACCGCCTTGTGACAATAGAATAATGCGGAGGGGCTCCATCTTGCTGAAAGTGTATGAGGTCTTCATTAAGAGTTAACTTTCCTTCCAAATCTCTTTGATTTTCAACCTCATTTACAATGGCTGGCTCTATCAAATTGTTCAGCATTTCCACATAAGCATCACCAGTCAAATTTCCATCGATGAAAAATGGACCTATAATTTTATCGCCTAGTATTCCGCACCAAACATTGAGCTTTTGGGGATGTTGGGTGTGTCCTTCAACAACAATATGCGGATTCTCATCGCTCCAGTATCTGCAGTTCTGCTTATTCACAATTCCGTTTAAAAAAAATGAGCACTCATCACTAAAACAAATATTTTTAGTAAGTGAAGGTTCCCTTCGAATTTCCTCCGTCATTAGTTCACAGAACTGAATCCTTCTATCTGGATCGTCGTCGCCAAGTTCCTAGAGAATCTTCATTTTGTAGGGATGGAATTTGTGCATTTTCAATACTCTCCTGACAGATGTTCGAGGTATACCTGTGATTGATCCCAACTGGCGTGTTGATGCTTCTGGATTGACCGATACCTGACCAATAACTTCCATCTGCATTTCTTCATTCAGTACCCTGGGCCCTGTTCTTGTTTTATTTTTGACCGATCCAGTTTCTTGAAACTTTAAAATCAAATCTGTGACATAAACGTGACTTACGTTTTTGTCCGGATTTCTCTCATTGAAAGCACGGGCCGTTCTCAAATAACACATACCTTCAGCACCATAAAGAAAAACTATTTGAATTCTTTCTTCCACAGTATAAACCATTTTTCTTTCAAATAAGCGAATCAAATAAACGTTTAAAATACCACCAAATTTGCAAACGATTGAAAATCGATAGAAGACAGTGCAAAAGCGCAAAGATATGCCGGTTTAAGATTCCTGTTTGTTGAAAGTAAAAAAATAGATGATAAGGAAGAATTTGCGTTATCGCAAAATTAGGCTGTAAAAACATCTTTGTGTTGCCTTTTTTGATTTTTGATGAGATTAGAAGTGAGGGGATGGGACGTAGGGGTGGGTCGGGGTGGTTTAAAAAATGCCTCATTTGCCTCGTTTAGTTGGGTCCCAAATTGTAACTTATGCTGAAAAAATTACTTTTTTCATGTCCACCTAATTTTTCGTGTAAGGGGTAGTTTTTCAATTTCACCCTAAAAACGTTATGATCGTCGTTTAGCATTTTTCATGGGCTTTCCAAAAAGGCGCCACAAGTGGGGTATTGCCATTTAAGATTTTCAAGTGAGTAGGGGTGCCGCCTAAGGAGTAGGTCGGGGTGGTTCAAAATATACGTCATATGTATTCCCCTTCGATATCATAGAAACGGTATTTCTTATTTTTTTGATATCTTTTTTGATTTAAAAAGTATAGCCATTGTAAGTTTTCAGTGGCCCACCCTGTAAAAGGGAAATTGGAATAACTTTCGTTGCACATCATAATACGACCACCAGCAAACTCCATAATACGACGCATGGTGTCATTGATGACGTGCAACGAAAGTTGTTTTAATTTCCATTAGGCATTTTTATGCCATATATTTTTTGAAGTAAAAGTGTCAAACTATGATTCTATAACACTATAATTTTATGAAGATATAGTTAATTTTAAAAATCATCAGCAATAATAAAACTGAATCTAATAATTGAAGACATGAGTGGATAAAGGTGTCGCATGTCGTGTCGCTTTTTTAATGTTTCGAGTAAATCAACAAAACACGTCTAAATATTATTGATGTTGTATGTGACATGATACCTTTATCACCTAGGATATTCTTTATGGTATTTATATTTGATATTTAGAGTTCATTGGAGGATAGATCTGTCAAAGGGATGTTGAAATACTGAGGGTGTATTCCGTTGCTTACCTTGGTTATGGTTTTATGTTCTGTTTCTATCGGTTTCCTGAAAGTTTTCTTGTTACGGAACACGGTTCCTGAAAAATTCTGTTATAACTGTCACCAAACTAACCAGCGCGAGAAGGCTGGTTTTTCTGGTTTTGTTTGTCAATCAATGTCTTTTATGTGACAGAAATCAAGCAAATATTGGAAGTTCGAGTAAAATTCTCATTTAGTTTCTAAAATTTGTATTTGCATTTACATCCAAAAGCAATGGAGATAGACAGTAAAGGTAAATAAATTTCATTAACTAAATCGAATGACTTATCATGCAGCCATTGATTCTTAAAGTCAGGAACATTTAAAGAAAACATGAACAACAAGACAACAAGTAATCGTGAATGTTTTGTAAGCTATAAAAATATAAATATTGATTAGATTTGTTTATTTATTATTGATCTATTTTAATATCGGGACTGCAAATCTTCACTTGAGCTGTCTGTCGAGTTTAACAGTTTATTAATAAAGTACTTTTAAATATTAAACTCCATTGAAAAGAAAAAGCAAACGCAAAAGCAGAGAATAGGTACATTAAAAATGCATAAAAGATAAATTTTATAATAGAGGTATTATAATTTAGAAAACGTCAACATTTGACGTTTCCAGTATTATACCAAACCGTTCCGTCTCAAACCCATGTTTTTCAGGAACCGCTCTTTACCGTAGTTTACCGGTCTGGTTCGCCTGGTTTTGCAACGGAATACAGCCTGAATAAAAATGAAATGAAAATGTTTATTAACTCATGTCTTCAATTATAAAAGACGTGTGAACTATGTACACGAGAAGAATTTGTAATAAAGGAAAATATATCCGCAATTAAAAATCTCTTACCTATTGGCTTCTTAACTGCTGCTATAGAATATCCAGGTTTGCCATAAAGCTCGTAAACTTCCGCCTTATAAACTTTGCCAAAAGCTCCACCTCCAATTTCATTCCTAATGATAACTTTGTTCCTTGGAAATTCATAGGTATCGAATTTATGGGCATTCTAAATTAACATAACAAAAATTCTTATTAATTTCGATCATTTTATCTTTGTTTAATTGCCGCAAACAATGTTTTTATTGAAATATAGTATATTGTTTTATTAGGAGTAAAAATGACCCTTTTCGTGGCGAGGCAGTTATGATTGACCCAGACAAATAAAAACAAAAGGTATTTTTTACTCCGAATAGCTGTTTTTTTTTTCCAAACGCCACAAATAATTTTTTAAACAATTTCAAACGTTCCAAATAATATTAAATGTATGTAATTATACAGGGTGGTCCGAGCTGTATTCCGGAAACCGGCAGCTTATTAAAATAATCTGCCGATAAAAATAATTAAAAAAGTTCGTATACATGTATGTCTTAAAATGCTTAGTTCGGAGATACAGGGTGTAGAAGTTTCATTTTTATTTCGAGATTTTTTCCAAATAATTTATGAAGTAACGTAAATATTTCGATGAAAATTGGTGTCTGGGAGTTTTTGGACATGAGAAATTTGATGTTAATGTCAATATGACTCTCATTTGTAGAGGGCGGCACCTATACTATGGGCTGGCAAAGGTTAGTCTTGGGTCGAGATTTCCGTATGTAAGAAGAGTACAATGCGTTTATAATGTACTGAACAAAGAGAGGACAGTAAACACGTTGCCAAACGTATGAAATAAACCGAGAAACTGTGCACATCGCTAAGAGACGTGGAAGGGGATATAGCAGATTTGTCGCAGTTGACCGGTCGACCCAATCAATAACTCTGTCAGTACTTAAAGTTCTAGGGAAAGGTGTACGTGATGCGTTCAGCTTCACGATTTAATTACGTCTCGTGATACTTAATTTGTTTATTTATTAACGAGTCGTTGTAATTTTCCCTATAGCTTGATTTTTTTTAATTGCAAGCTAGAAACAATTGCATTTTTGGTAAAAATAAGTGGAATTGAGTGGGTGTTCGATAGTAGTCGCGCTATTAGAACTCTGAATTCAAAAACCAATATCTCGAAATCTATTAGAAATAATAGATTGTAGTTTTTTCAAGAACTTTGTTAATATTTCTGCTGTATTTTCTTTGTAGACAGTATGTGAAAATCTTTAGCAATAAAAAAATTACACGATTGCTGAAAATTGCTATGCTCTAAAAGTAAATGGATGGCTTGTTTACAATTTTTGAATAGAAAAAAACAACTTTATCGAATTTTTCTTATGTAAACATATTGTAAAATATCCGATCTTGAAAATAAAAAAAAGTTTCAAAATCTAAAGTGGTTCTTGAGTGGCCTGTTATGTGTTAAAAAGTTAAGTTTTTAAATTATCGCGATTACTGACGTTTTCTCCTTATAAAAAAATGACACCCTAACGATATCCTTATAATTCCATTTCAGATGCTGAGAAACATGTCTAATGATTTTATCTAGTTATCTCTTGAAAAAAAAGTCTTTTAAAAATAAACGGTTTGCGATCGTGATTCTACTTTACTTAATAGGGAAAGGCGTAACAGCACACCGTCGCGCGTCGGTCGCATCTCTCACTCCGACTTAATAAGATCCCTATGCGATTTACTTCCACACATGTAAATGCCGACACAAAAGTAACAGTTGCCAGCACGGTATAATTGTTAACTGGTTTCAAGAGTTAATAACTTTTTAGTCCCTACCTATATAAAACTACCGAGTAAAAAAATATACTTTTACGACATTACGTAAAAAAGGTCTCTTGGGAAAAATCACTACGAGAAATGGTTTTCGAAATATTTGGAATTGAAATTATCCATACCTGCCAATCATTGACATAAATTTACCATGTTGACTAAATTTAAAAAAGTTATTAGTGTCAAAAGTTTAACAGAAACTGTTTTATCATAGTTTCATCGCCGAAAAATTTATGATTGACTTAAAAAAAATTGGCGCCGGGAGGCACGTACAGCCGCCCATACTAAAATACGTTAATATCTCAAAAACTGCGACTTTGACTTATTCTGATGTTATTACAAATTTTATTGCAAATATTATTCCTTTGCTTATTTTAATTATTTTTTATATTGTTAATCACGTCCCAAAATTAATACTTTTGTGACGAAAAAAATATTATATCAAACTTTTTTTTCAGACGATTATATCACGATCCGTTATCTCGTAAATACTAAAATTAAATATCATAAACTACAGTAGTTACACATGAGTTTTAGATATACAACCATCAAAAAATCATTCACAAGAAAGATTGCTTCAGAGAAATTTTCCAAACCATTGATTCTATGTATATTGCCAATGTTTTGAATAAAGGCAATGTTTTTATTTTTTCTTCCTTCGTCCCTTCATTATAAAAGCGGGCGAAAGATCCAAAAATATTCTGCTTTCAACTTAGAAAATACTTTAAAAGTTATTCTACTGCTTTTAATTGATGCTAAACGATCAATTTCTTATAGCTGTTAATTTTATACCCAGCTAACTTTTAATATTCACTATTAATACATAATACAGGCTTGTCTGGATAGTTAGAGCCTTAAAAAAGTTTTTGATTATCTTGATTTTTTTGCAGCAAAGTTTAACAACTCGAATTATTAACAGTCCAGGTAAAATGTTAAAGTTAGAAGAAGTTGAGTTCCTCTTTACTTGGAAAACAAAAAATAAATTAACTACTTCAATAGTATTTCTTTAGCCCTTTCGATACTGCGGGGACATATACGTCCCAATAAAGTTCCTATATAGACGAATATTAAAAATGCATTGGGATGGGACTATTCAGTGCGGCTCATGTCTTGCTCGCCGAGTTACAGACCTTTTAATGTTTGTGTTTACAATGGAACATTGCTAGGCAGTTCTATGTCGACAAGTACACGTGGCTGCTTGGAATTTTAGAAAAAAAAATGAAAAAAAGGTGTGTAAATTAGTGAAAATTATTAAGAAATAATGCTCTACCAGCAGTGGAGTAAAAGATAAGTATATAACTTTTATATGATAGTTACATGAAAAAAAAAATGTGTTGCTGGGATGTATTTCTCCCACAGTGTTATAATGCGGGATATATTTATCCCTGCAGTGTTGTAACGCAGGATATAATTATCTCTGCAGTAGGTCAGTCAAGTTTGCCCCCCGTATTAGAGGAAATCCAAAAATAAATATACCACTATTTTGCACACATTTTGCACAATTTTGCACACCATAAATGATATTTTGCACACTTACCTAAGAGAAACCAGGGCCGTTTTTTAAACGGGGGGCAAACTTGACCGTTCCCCCCCATTTGTTAAGAAATTGATTTATTTCTATGTACATCGATTCGGCTAATTTTGCACAATTTTGCACACCTGTTTTTGAATTTTGCACACCCTTCTGACGAAAGTTATAAGCGGTTGAAATTTGAAATTTCCCCCCCATCTGTGACTAAATTGAATTTTGTTTATATCAAACGAATCGGCTAATTTTGCACAATTTTGCACACCCATTTTTGAATTTTGCACACCATCCTGATCAAAGTTATGAAGGTTTGAAAATTTGCAATTTCCCCCCTATCTGTAACGAAATTGAATTTTGTATATATTAGACGAATTGGCTAATTTTGCACAATCTTGCACACCTGTTTTTGAATTTTGCACACCATTCTGAATAAAGTTATGAAGGTTTGAAAATTTGCAATTTCCCCCACATATGTCACGATATTGAATTTTGTGTATATCAAACGAATCGGCTAATTTTGCACAATTTTGCACAGTTATTTTCGAATTTTGCACACTCTCCTGACAAAAGTTATAAGAGTTTGAATATTTGAAATTTGTCCCATTGTGTGTGAAATGTCCCACTTAAAAATATAGTGTGACCAACGGATCTGTAGCTACGGGGTATCGGCAGGGGAATGCAGTTGTAAACAAAACACGCCCAATTTCATTCATAAAATAGGCATGGGCGTAGGTGTTATATGAAAATAATGTGTATCATAAATATAATCCTCAGATTAATATTTTTTTTCAAAAAACTTTATGCTGTTTGAATCGTTACTGTTGAGTTAGCAGATAAACACTAAAAGCTTTTATTAAAGCTCCCTTAAATATTTTGAATCATTTTATTATTGTGTTGTTAATATAATAGAAGAAATAATTACAGCTGGGGGTTGGAACCTTTAGTGTTACACAGCAAAATAAAACACTAAATCAGTACAATACACCAAAACACTTTTAATTTTACACTGGACGCACGTTTCGCTAACCATGTCTGTCATCAGCAGATGATCAAGACTGAGTCTTGAGGTATATTTATTTATATATCTATACTAACTATATTTTTTTCTATAATACATAATTTTAGATATAACTATTTCCAGCAAAAAAAAACCTTGAAAATAGTTAACTTTGGAAGCGCAAATAAAACATAATTTTACTCACCAGTAGATCCAATATTGCCCAGATATGGTACCAATTACACCAGATATGGTATCGCTCCGCCAGTAGTTTTTAAAGGTTAGGTCATTGTCTACCCATATGTTTCATCCAAATAGATAATACTTGGCTATATTTTCGAATTTCGCGTATATATTTATATCTCTCTCTGCAATATAATGGGCCGCTCCATTAATATTTATCTGTTATTTTGACATTTACGCCAAAAAAATTCATTTGATTTTAATATCCCCCTAAGCGTTTCCCTGCAAAAGGAAAATTCGATTCTTCCTGCAATTTTTGCTTTCTAATTGTGGGGACGAGTTTGAATTCGAGATAAAATCTATTTATCAAATTCCTGATAAACTCCGGTATAAAGAAATATCCGCTCAAGTTTACGTTTAAGCGGCAACTTAAGCGAACTCTCTGTAGCTTCTTCATCGCAAACGCTATTATGAACACAAGGAAATAAACCAAATGAGATTTTATCTACGTTATTATTAACTTACCTATATAAATTAACTATTATTTCTCTTGTCTGACTATGTAGCTCCTTACCCTTAACAAATATACGATCAAACTTGATATTAATAATTAAAAACTACGAACGAAAAACATTATAACAAGATAACAAAACAATAAAACACAACTTAACTATCAAATATACGAAAAATATAGGTATAAAGTTTAGGATAACCGGTATAAAATAATGAAATAAAGTAATAATGATTAAAAAAATGACACCGCCACTGGATATTTCAATAGTATTCAATATTCCTACTCTTTTCAGAAGAGACCGTGAAGTTGGGGATAAAGCAAGCGAATAGGAAAGGCGTAAAAGCCATGGCAACCGCGTGGTAACAAATCCTGTGACGTACTCTCGCCAATCATGTTCGATGAATAGGCGGCAATGCGCGGCGATGCCGGTTTGCCAATGATATCGTTGAAAAATCTTCAACTTTCATAATAAGCAGATTATACAGAATGAAAGAAAAAAGTTATTAAATAAAACATATCGAACAATATGAACTACGTTAAAATTCAGATCAATATACGTCAGAAATATATGCTAAACACATTATATATAATAAAAATATATTAAATTTATAGTTCATGTCTGGCAATTTTGCAATTTTATAGATAAACGTGGCAATATCGATTTTTTTTTTCTCGCATTCCTTCCGTAGCTTCAATTCCGCTGGTCAAACAGTACATAAGTATGAGTCATATTTCGAAAATGATAGATCTCAGCGACGTGAAAAAAATGCAAATTGTCAAACCCCGTGACGGGGAAATTGCAAATTTTCAAACCCGCATAACTTTAGTCAGGAGAATGTGCAAAATTCAAAAACAGGTGTGCAAAATTGTGCAAAATTAGCCCATTCGTTTGATATAAACAAAATTCAATTTAGTCACCGATGGGGGGGAAATTTCAAATTTTCAACCCCTTATAACTTTCGTCAGGAGGGTGTGCAAAATTTAAAAATAGGTGTGCAAAATTGTGCAAAATTAGCCGAATCGATGTACATAGAAATAAATCAATTCCGTAACAAATGGGGGGGAACGGTCAAGTTTGCTCCCCGTTTAAAAAACGGCTCTAGTTTCTCTTAGGTAAGTGTCCAAAATATCATTTATGGTGTGCACAATTGTGCAAAATGTTTGCAAAATAGTGGTATATCTCTTTTTGAATTTCCTCTAGTACGGGGGGCAAACTTGACTGACCTCTCTGCAGTATGTAGAGTATGTGGCTGGGACAAACATGTCTGACATTAGTATACTGCAGGGTCATGTTTGTCCCAAGAATTAAAAAATGAAAATAAAATATAACAACGGGCTAGATATGTTCCCAGTGTGCCCAATAATTAATTTTAGCAGTAAAAAAACGAAAAACATTCTACATAAAAACATACCTAAAAGTCGTGTCGAACGGGTTAGTACCCTATAATCGAAAAAAAACGGCGCCCAATTGGTTTGGAAAAGACTATTGATAACTCTAGCTATATTACAGTTTTACAATAAAATGACAGCGATCTTCAGTTCAAAGCTATCTCTAATGTGTTTTTCCACCTGTATTGTATTAATAGCTAGTTTTTTATTAAGTCATTTTAAAACACCCATTTTTGTGTAAAAACATCCTGACATCACACCCTTTTCAGAGAGACTTAAAATTGAAATAAAAATTTACGATATGGTTTAGCATCTTATACCGAGTGCGTCTGAAAAGTGGCTCACCCCTATAACTTTTTTTATTTTTTCAGATAAAAAAACGAGATATTAATATATGACATAAATTGGAATTGATTGACGTATTCAATTGTTTTTGGTCACTTCCTGTTTTACCGGAAATGACTACTAATTTTGATTTTTAAATGGCATCCCCGGTATATTTTTACTTTATTTGATAGAAAATTATATTATGAATAGAATGATGTATCATATGTCAACTTTTGACATTTTCGCTTAATAAAAAATCGTATTTTAAATCTCAATCTAGAGTGGTTATGTTAAAAACACTAATTCTTAATCAAGGAGCCTTGGAAAAATAGATTTGATCGTTTAATGTTTTTAGTGTCTTGTCCTGGCCAGTTAAAAAATGTCCAAATCGTATTTTTAATCATATCTCAATTTTTAGAAATGGAACGAGGGTGGCTCATTAGCATATTTGGAAAAAATATTTTTTTACGAATAATTTGATACCACACGCTTGGTATTTCAAGTCATATTTTCGTTACGAACCGCAAGTTTTAATTTCAAATAAACCATATGCGAAAATGTCAAAAGTTGACATATGATATGTCATTTTATTCAGAGTGTTATTGTCTATCGAATAAAGTAAAAAATACGGAGGGTGTCATTTAAAAATCAAAAGTTGTAGTCTTTTCCGGTGAAACAGGAATTGACCGAAAATATATACTAACATACCAAATCTCGTTTTTTTATCTGAAAAAATAAAAAAGTTATAGGGGGTGAGCCACTTTTGAGACGCACCCGGTATAGTTCTTCTTGTGATTTAAAATTCAAGTCAATATCTCCTAGGAATAATTGTTCAAGTAGATATTTGCCCTAAAAAATGTGATTCTGATAGTGTAGCACAAATACTTAAGGTTAATTTGTATGGTATGTTTTTGCTTCTGACGATATACAGGGTGTCCCAGGCTGAGCGTGCATTAGTTTTTAGAGGACTACTATACCTAGATCGGAGATTGTTTGCACATTATTGTTTCACAACGAGATATATCGATTAAAAATATTTTCAATGTGGCGACACTTCCGGAAATAACGGAAGTTGACATCTAACCTAACCAAACTTTCTTATTTTAAATAGGCACCTCCATTTTTTATTACATACTTAAATTTTCTGTAGAATTTTATGAATTTTGATATCAAACATCTCTATATCTATCATTAACCGATTTTGAGAAAAAATAAATTAAAATTTTTGGAGGATAAAAACTGCCTGTCAAAAAAATCGGGTTAGCCTAAACGACAAATTTAGTGATTACCAAAATCACTGTGGCATAAAGAGAAGACATGTGGCTATCTATTTCGAAAATTAAATTGTTCGAATGTCATATAATATTGGCCGTAGGTGTCATTGAACAGAGCGATTAAAGAATTATCGTAAATCAATTTTTTCAAAGGGAAACCCACTTTTTTATTTCACTAGTGAAAAGGTTTTTAATTCGTTACTTTTTGATTATACAAGTTCCTATTCCTAAAATAAATGGTTTTAAATATATTTTTCTATTAAGAGAATTTGAGTATGTAATAAATAATGGGGGTGCCCATTTAATAAGAAAGTTGTTGTCAACTTCCGGTATTTCCGGAAGTGCCGCCATATTGAAAATATTTTTAATCGATAGATCTCGTTGTGAAACAGTGATGTGCAAAAAATCTCCGATCTAGATCTTATAGTTCTCTAGAAACTCCTAACGCACGCTCACCGGGGAAACCCTGTATAAACACCTCCTGAAACGTAAGGCATTTTTTGTCGATTACACAAATTAGTCTTACCAGTATAATACCACTAACAAATTGGTCGCCCTTGGATTAACGCTGTGGTGTTTACCAAAAATATGGGGTTTTAATTTTATAGACTTTTTTTCTGGCGGCGAAATACAAAATTATTTTCAAAAAATTAACCCGCCACAAAAGTATGGACGTTATAATCCAGTAAAATTGTATCGCCGTATAGAGAGTGAAAAAAAAATTACGGGCAAGCTGATTTTTTCAGAGTTTGTCAGCGACTGTCTTCTGAGTGCAAAATTAACAAAATCGGAAATTTTTCCCTTGCGGTTTTTTTTTAAACTACAACTACAACAAAATAATTAGACGCAAATTGTACATAAGAACATTCTCTATATCTTCGCCTAATGATTTTTTTTATAAGTTTATTATTTCCGGACTTAACGGCCGTTTCATGAGCCCTTTGGGGTGGTGTTCAAAAAGTTTGTTTTACAGCAAATTGACCCGTATGAAAGTTGTTCGTAATAAATCGACAAGCAACTTTTCCTCATGATTTTTTTTGTAGCTTGATTATTTTTGGAGATAGCGTCCAGTTCATGAACAAATTAGGGTAGTTTTCAATGTTACTCTTTTTTCAGCAAATTCACTCTAGGAAACTCGTTCAAAATAAGAGTACATATACCTTTGCCTTTTTTTGTAACTTGACTATTTTTGGAGATAGCGCCCAGATCATAAACAAGTGGCGTGGTAGCTTTTTTTCTCTCTCTGAACGTCAACAATTTCAGCAACATTCAATAATTTCTTGGAAATAAAACACGAATCCATTTCTCAATAGCACTTGTGACTTTCCTGAAAAAAAAGACATTTAAAGCAACCACCACTTGTTCATGATCTGGGCGCTATAACCAAAAACAGTCAAGTTACAAAAAAGTTCATAAGGCAAAGGTATATGTACTCTTATTTTGAACGCGTTTCCTAGGGTGAATTTGCTGAAAAAAGAGTAACTTTAAAACCACCCTAATTTGTTCATGAACTGGACGCATCTCCAAAAATAATCAAGCTACAAAACAAATTATGAGGAAAAGTTGATTGTCCATTTATTATGAACAACTTTCATACGGGTCAATTTGCTGTAAAACAAACTTTTTGAAAACCACCCCAAAAGGCTCATAAAATGGCCGCTAAGTCCGGAAATAATAAACTTATAAAAAAATTCATTAGGCGAACTTATAGAGAATGTTTTTGTGTACAATTTGGCGTCTAATTATTTTGTTGTTGGACAGTTTAAAAAAAACACCCCTATTGCTCAAAAACCGCAAGGGGAAAATTTCCGATTTTGTTTATTTTACACTCAGAAGACAGTATTTTTTTTTTCAAATGACAATTTTATTGGATTATTATTTTTAATTTAGGATTAATAACTCAATCTGGACTTACCAAGATAAATTCTAGTGGTGTGTATTGGGAATTGACCAGTTCCTTACTGAAAATCAATTAAATTAATTAATAGCAATAAAAGTTGATTAATAAAAAATATGTAGAGTAATTATCAGTTATGTCCAATAAAATTTTAGTTCAAATAGCGTGTTAATTAGAAATAAAAAGGAGGATACATTAAAATACGCAACCAACCGTCCAATCAGATGAAAGAGGTACGTACCCTATCGTTGGGTATTGTGCAATCACGTGATGCTCATGTCGTATGACGGTTAAATCTTTGGTTAGAATTTTTGTTGTTGTTTTTACAGTTTTTACTTTATTTTTCTATTTACGTCAGATTTATATTTTGTAATTGCCTATCAGATAATACGTATTTAGAAAAATAATAAGAATTAGGATCGTGTTTTTTTTTTAAATCCTGGATATTAATTGGAACCCTTGATAACATTACTGCTTTTGATATAAAGTACATTTTTGATTATTTACTTGGGCTAGGATATTAAAATATCAGTTGGATTGTACGACATAAATAGATGTAGGTATGATTATTTATATATATATATATATATATATATATATATGTATGTATTTATAAAGCTTACTATCTGTTTTGCATTTTCAGTTTTTGATCAGACATTTCATTTTATTTGTGAAATGCCCACAAAAAAGCTTCCCATGATTCAACATCAGTGTGTTTGCTGCATAATGGATCATTCCTGCTGAATTTTTAGATCATTTGAAGACTACATGGAAAAAACCAGATAATATGTTACATTTTCATAGAAATTGATAGCGAGACAATTTTATAGGCAAGTGTTAGCATTATTCGAGGCACCATCAAAGAAAGCAATAATAATATGCTTAGTCCCAGAGATATTACAGCTTAGTTATTTTGCCCTACAGGAGAAAAACCAGAGTAGTTCACTCGTAATTGCATTTTCTCGGCTCCAGTTAAAATGAACAAAGCTGGTTTTTCCTGTGGTCTTCATTTGAAATAACGTAAATAAATGTTTATACATATGTATGTGATGATTAAATTGGTGTTAAGGAAATAAAAATGTTTTTCGATATTAATATATACCTATATATGTATATTTATTTTGAAATAAATTACACTTTTAACAGTTTAATGGAGTTTTTAAAGCCAGTTATAATATTTATATTTTAAAAACTTGAAATCATGTGGATGTAATCACGCATTAAACCACAGACTAACTTATATAAGTCAAAAAGTAGATTTTAGTGTTAACTTTATATAACTTGTAAGTAAAATAATAAATAAAACAAATATGAAAAAACCAACAATTCTAATGTATATATTAAAATACAGTACAATAATAGGTATCTGATACCCTCACTTAACGTAGAATAATATTCTACCCAACTCAATACTATGTCCAACATGAGTTTCAAATATATCGGGCCCTAATCGTTCCTGAAAATAATATTTTTTTACATTGTTATACCATATTCTAAACTATTTAATATTTCAGTCACTTAAAAAGTTAATTTGTATTGAATAATTGTCTACCATTAAAGCAAATTTGGACTAGTATTTTTAATGGGCATATTCTGTGTATGGATATAGGTACTTCCTCCAGATTTTGGGTTCAACCAATTTATTCTTAAAACCTGAAACATCTACGTATAAAAAATAGACAGGTTATAATTATAATAAAATTTGCCCTTAGAATTACTTCTATTGCAAGCAATTTCCATTGGTATACTTTTCCATGACAAATGATCAACTTCCTAAAATTTTCAATTGATGTAATACTTCCTCATGATGCGAAAAGAAAATCTTTTCGTTAGCACACAATGGACAAACGATATGTTGGCTTACTTTCAGATTAGTTACTTTTCCATAGATATCCTCATGTCAATTCAAAGACGATGAACATGATGATCATCACATGAAACATCACAAACTAAAAACCTAATAAACAAGTTTATATCGAATATAGAAATAAATTTAGTGTTCTTACCTATTGTCGTCCAAATCCACGTTAATAGATAATTAATTTTTTGGAATTTTATCTTTTATTTTTAAATATATCTTTCGAACTACTGGTTTTAGTAATTATTAAATTAAACGAACTAAAAAGTCAAAAATAATAAACAATTCTCTTGTCAATTGTCAATTTTCTCCAGGCACCGAACATTATCGATAACGCACGATCTACGACGATTACTCCTTTGATCTGATTGGACGGTTCAATGACGGTTGGTTGCGTATTTTAATGTATCCTATAAAAAGGTAGGAAAAAAATTTGCGCCGGGAGGCACGTATAGCCGCCCATACTAAAATATGTTAATATCTCGAAAACTGCGACTTTGACTGATTTTGATGTTATTACAAATTTTGTTGCAAATATTATTCCCAATCTTAATTTGAAAACCGCGTTTTGCTAGCTACTGTAATTTTGGAGTTACGATTTTTTTAAATTTTTAACCCCCTCCCATACCCCCTTACCAACTCCCCATCCCACCAAAAACTAGCCAGATTCTCGGGTGCCACAGTATTTTTGTGCCAAATTTGGTTAAAATCGGTTCAGCGGTTTTTGAGTTATCGTGTTACAGACGGACAGACGGACAGACAGACAGACACCATGAAAATATTTTGTATTTAGGTCATTTATGACCCAAATAACTCATTTTGAGTGAAATTAAAAAAACTTTTTTTTGCCGATCTTAATAGCCTACCATACCTATTGGTATTTAGCGTTTTGCGTTTTTTGCGTCTCAATCGCTTTTTGCGATTTTACCGTTTTAAGCGCTTTTTTCGATTTGTGTCCATTAAAAACACGCAAAAGACGCGGCAGGTCTGCAGTTTCTATCAATATGTCAATTAGTAACGTCGCAAGCTCGTGGATTCCCGGCCCGTCCAACAATCAATCCTGTGAGAAAGAGATAGGCGGGATCGGCGCTGTTAGCGTTGAAGAGACGAAGATAAAAAATGCTAGGATTGAATTGTGGACGGGCCGGGGCATATATTCGGAGATAAACACAATCTAGTGCCAGTGGTGTGTGTAAAAATAATAATTATTAATTACCATTTATTTTACGAATTTTAGTTTATATGTGTATAGTTTTTTTATGTTGTAGTGTTGTGGTTAGTACTTGTTATAATTATAATATAATAAATAATATAATAAAATTATATAAGGATTCTTGCCACTTAACAGCTAATATAGAAATTTAATTCTACGCTGTGTTTGTCATAATGCGGATCAACCTGCTCTAACTACCGGTTTCGGAGCCCTACTCCATCATCAGGTGAGCTTGGGAGATCCACAAAATGACAACCACAGCGCAGAGATAGTTAATTCCGACTTGTCGGAAAGTATCGGTTAGATATTAAGTCCCGAACGGGAGATAGCGGCCTGCGTGCAATGGTAGTACTTCGTACCACCGAGGCGCAACTATCGATAGTAAAAGGATGGTAAAAAAACTTTTTTTCAGGCAAGCCAAATTATAAAATAGAAAACAAATTTCTTGCAGTAGAGGTATATAATAAAATTATATAAGGATTCTTGCCACTTAACTGCTAATATAGAAATTTAATTCTACGCTGTGTTTGTCATAATGCGGATCAACCTGCTCTCACTACCGTTTTCGGAGCCCTACTCCATCATCAGGTGAGCTTGGGAGATCCACAAAATGACAACCACAGCCCAGAGATAGTTAATTCCGACTTGTCGGAAAATATCGGTTAGATTTTAAGTCCCGAACGGGAGATAGCGGCCTGCCTGCAATGGTAGTACTTTCGTACCACCGAAGCGCAACTATCGATAGTAAAAGGATGGTAAAAGGCTTTTTTTCAGGCAAGCCAAATTATAAAATAGAAAACAAATTTCTTGCAGTAGAGGTATATAATAAAATTATATAAGGATTCTTGCCACTTAACTGCTAATATAGAAATTTAATTCTACGCTGTGTTTGTCATAATGCGGATCAACCTGCTCTCACTACCGGTTTCGGAGCCCTACTCCATCATCAGGTGAGCTTGGGAGATCCACAAAATGACAACCACAGCGCAGAGATAGTTAATTCCGACTTGTCGGAAAGTATCGGTTAGATATTTAGTCTCGAACGGGAGATAGCGGCCTGCGTGCAATAGTAGTACTTTCGGACCGGTAGTGAGAGCAGGTTTGTACGAAACCGGTAGTGAGAGCAGGTTGATCCGCATTATGACAAACACAGCGTAGAATTAAATTTCTATATTAGCAGTTAAGTGGCAAGAATCCTTATATAATTTTATTATATACCTCTACTGCAAGAAATTTGTTTTCTATTTTATAATAAATAATTATAATTATATGTATAATAGAATAGTAAATATCTCTAGTTGCTAATGCAATTTTAGGACATGATTTATGAAACATTTTGGAGCGAAACGCCGTGGTCTTTACTCGCGCTGGGAGTAAAAATTCAAGGCCGTGACATACGAGCTAGTGAGACAGCCCTGACACACGAGCTCGTTATAACGAAACGTGTTAACGGCTTAGAAATACATAGTGACGCGACGTGTATTTATGGGCAGTCCACGTGTTTATCAAAAATACTGACATTTTAATACAAATTTTGTAAAAGTGAATCATATTATTACATGTAAAAAAACATTTGTTACACGTAAAAAACTATTTTTATTATTTTACGCGAATAAAACTATTACACTTAAAAACTATTTCTTACGCGTATAAAACTATTTGTTACTGGTAGAAAACTATTTTTTACGCGTATAAAACTATTTGTTACGTGTAAAAATCTATTTGTTACACGTAAAAAACTCTTTTTTTACGCGTTAAAAACTTATTGTTTCTGGTAGAAAACCTTTCTTACGCAAAAAAAAATTACGTGTAAAAAACTATTTGTTACACGTAAAAAACTAATTATTTTTCAGAATCTGGTCCCAGGACATCAGTTGATTATTTACTATGTAGTCCGCCCCTGGCGCGTGTGCTCACACATGTTTAAAGTATTTTCTCCTGTCGCTCCTTTCCTCCGCGATCCGTCTTCATTCGTTTCTGTGTGCATGTGCAGTGCGGAAGTGTCGCTTTTTATGCTTGTTTACGAAGGCCGAAATTAAAACAGTAAGTAATTATTTCTATAATCTTACAATACAAGCTTGTTACCTTGTCGTTGATCGAGAATTATCATCCTCCATCAACGCTTTTCTCTTTTCTCTTTAGCTAGATATTATGGGAAAAACAAAGGGAAAAAGCCGGTCTTCTTCTCGAGAACGCCATGTTTCACGGAAGGAGCTTTTGAGAAGGCTAGAGAGACTTGAGAAAGAGAGGGCAACATCACGAGCGTGGTCGCGATCGCCACGGCGTCAGCGGCGTTCCCCCTCTCAGTCATCTCATCGCCTGCGCTCGTTTAGCGGGCGCGTGGGCCGTACTGGCCCAATAGCCAACACTATTAATGCAAACGTCGGCGGCGGTGGATCCTCGGTGGATTCAAGGTCAAGCAGTCGTCATCGTCGACGGTCTGGTTCTGGTTATGACGATCGCAGTCCGCGCGGCTCGGCGTCTTATTATGTTACACCAGATAGGCGGCGATCGACCATAGTCTGTACGGCGTGGCTACCAAAGCAATGGATGTGGATCGCGGCCCGGGCGGCGCGACAAACATCCTGAATGATAAGAATAATTTAAACGATCATGCGGCTGGCACCCCTCCGTTAATTATTCATAACGACGTCTCCTTGCCGACTGAAGTGTTAGACCTACTCGGTGAGGATCCGGATAAAACTAAGGCTAATGGATACACTTTGCATCAGGCCCTTACAGCTAGGTGGTCAAAAATCTTAACATCCGGCCTATCTAAGGAGAAAAAGGAACAATTAATGAACACTAGCTGCGTCCCAGAAAATTGTAAGGCCTTGATACCTCCCTTGGTCAACAAGGAAATTTTACCTTGTCTTTCGGCGGCTTATATAAAAAGGGATTCATGTCATGCTGATTTTCAAGACCAGCTGGGCAGAGGCCTGTCGTCATTGGGCAAAGGTCTTAACGCGGTCTTGGAAGAGGGTCAGAATATTTCGCCAACTATGCGTGAAAAGATTTTGCCATTCCTTACTGAAGCTGGACAAATTTTTTCAAATTTATTTTTTGACATTTCTCAGACTAGACGTACCTTGATTTTACCCATGTTAAGCAAATCACTAAAGGATGTAGTAGAGACTAGTGTTCCAGGGGTGTACTTGTTTGGGAACGAATTAGCTGAAAAGGTCAAGGAAGCTAAAACATTGGAAAGGACGGCCAAGGACCTTCGTCCCCAAACGCAGAGTTTTACCTTTTCCGCTTCTAAAAAAGGGGGAGGGGTGGCTACCGGCCGATCACAGACATCCAGACCATACACTAGCCGAGGTGGCTCATCCGGTCCTTTAAACCGGGGGCGCCCGGTCCGTCCAAAGCGGGAAACGAGACCACACAAAGGGCATGCCCCGATACGGAGGAGTCAATACCCTCATCAGAAGCGCTGATTTCACAGATAAAGTTATTTATAAACAATGGCAAAATATCACCCAAAACCCATTTTTCTTGTCTTGCATAAGTGGTTATGTCATTCCATTTAAATGTACTCCCTCACAGTTTTTGTCTCCGAAATCAAGGCATCTTTCTTCAGAGGAACGAAGCCAAATGGCTATGGCAATT